CCTCGATCTGGATTCCTAGGGCGCCCACGAAGGTGTGCTTTTTTGCATGGCTAGCGGCGAGGGGAGTGATCTTGACTGCTGAAAATCTTCGAAAGAGAGGAATTACACTTGTTAGTTGGTGCTACATGTGTAAAAGCTCAGGGGAAGAAATTGATCATCTTTTGTTGCATTGCCCTGTGTCCTGGGCTTTGTGGAGGGCAATCCTGAATCTTTTTGGTGTTCAATGGGTGATGCCAAGCACTGTAAAGGAAATGTTATATAGCTGGGCCGGTTTCCGTAGAAGAAGAAAGCAAAAGGCGTGGAAGCTCGTCCCGTTAGCTCTCGTGTATCCGTTTGGGGGGAGAGAAATATGAGAGCTTTTGAGGGGATTGAGTCTCCTTTTTCACATCTTAAGAATAGTCTTTTATCTTTGATCGCTTTTTGGTGCACTCATTTAGCCCCTATTTGTATAGAAAATTGGGCGTCTTTTGTAGAGAATCATGTTCTGATGTAAATTCTCTACTTTTTGGTATACTTCGTGTATACGGGAGTTCTCTCCCTTTTTATTAATACAATTTACCTTATCAAAAAAAGAATATACAGTACCACGACTACATCAACTTCAATGCCTAGCAAAACTATTGGTAAACCTCTTCCCCACTAACATTATGTAACATTTCCTCATGAATCAAGCAATCAGTTAAGCATGTACATCACAACAATTAGCTATAATAAGCATGTGCAGAAGTTCGGGTGAAGATGCAAATCATCTCCTTTTACATTGCCGGATAGTGTCTCGCTTGTGGTGGGGGATACTGTGTTGATTTGGTCTTCAATCGGTAATGCCAGGCACGGTCAGAGAAGTCGAGCTGGACCGTTGGAGGACAGAAGAGAAGATGCAGGTTGTGAGATGTCGCTCACTAGCACTTTTGTTGACCATACAAAGAGAGAAATCATGAGTTTTAGATGGAATTAAGAAGAGTTTTGTACACTTGAGGAGTAGCCTCTCATCCCTTATTACCTCTTGATGCACCCACGAGATTTTGTAGGTATAGAATATAGGGTGTCGTTCGTAGAAAGCCATATCTTTTCTACAAAAGTATAATTCTGTATACGGGTGTTTTGTGCCCATTGTTAATAAAATCTTATTATTGATCTAAAAATAATTAGCTATAATAAGAGGAAAGAGAAAGACCAAAAACACTTCAATAGTTCATCTCTTTTATGCTTCTTCCTTCTTTTTAATTGTTGGCACCATAAAATAAATTTAAGGTACTGGGCAATCTAATAGAAATAAACTTACTTGAGAGCCAACTCTGTGTGTTGGAGTCGGTGAAGGAAAACTGCAAGATCACCATAACTTTTCATGGTGTCTAGGTGAACGAGGCCCAACTCCCTTTCATTTATGTCCAAGGCCTTTTGCTACCACCAGCATCAATACATATGGATAGAGGTCAGAGTAGTTGAAGCAGACAAAAAAGGTAACAATGTAGGATTAAGGAGATCTATGCTGACAAGCTTCTAAAGAATGAACACCTGATTAAAATCACCGATGTGATACAGAACAGCAGCAAGAACTCTATAAGCTCCAGGTTTCATTTGATGCGGACCACATACTGCAAGCAGCTTGGGAAGAGCCTGATTGCACCACAAAAATTTGCAGCATTAGTCATATGGTTTACAAAAATATATACTATGATTCCTCACCTCACCAGGCTTTCGCTTAATTTTTTTCTTCTAATTCAAATCTTTTCTAGGTATATCCAAGACAAACAGAACGATGAATATTAAACTGATTGACCAAAAGGGGCTGCTATGGGGTTCCACCTCAAAGACCGTACTTTTACTATATGTGTTATTGGTTTTCCATCCGCTTCAAAACTCCATGGCTTCTTATCTTTTATTTATCCTTTTTTTATACTAGGAGATATTATTTTCCGAATTCTCCTTTATTCATACTCATTAAATTTTTTTCTACTTCCCTGGTGTCTTTGTGTCTACTATTCTGCAGCGAGCTGCTTCCTCTTCTGCACATGGAAGGCTGCTTTTGGAATCATCCGAAACATCTGTGGATAAGGGTAAACTTGAAGATGCTATAAGCTATGGGACTTAGGTAATTGTTTTTTTGATAAAAGAAAGTTGTGTATTACTTTCTCCTTACTTCCAATGGTAACCTTCTACTGTATAGAAACAAAGTTATTTTGGTGGGCTTCACAACTCCATGGCTTCTTTGATTCTTCCTTCCTGTTGATCTTTTCTATACCCAGAAAAGAGTGGAATTAGAAGAAGAAATTAAGCGATTGTGAGGAATCATATATATTTTTGTATACCATGTGATTGGTGTTGTAAATTTTTTGGTGCATTCAGGCTCTTGAGAAGCTGTTTGCAGTATTTGGTCCATACAATCGAATGAATGTTGGAGCTTATGCGTTCCTAGAAAGAAAGCGGTTTTGATTGGTTTACATTACAGCCATACTACAAAGGAGCTCCATGGATGTAGGTTGGATGTTCAGACGATTCAACGTTTTTTGATCAAGACGTGCCACTTCCTTCCATCGTCAATTCTTATGCTCACTGGTAATTTCAGAACTAGTTAATTTGTTATATATTTAATAATCACATTTATATAAAAATTCTTGTCTAAATTTGATGTGTAGAGAAAGCGAAAGAGAAAAACCTTTTGCCTGTGAGAAGGAACATTTTTAAAGCAATCCAATGGTTGCAATATGATCTCCGGGCTGGGGATACCCTTGTATTTCTTTTCAGTGGTCATGAGAATAAATGTTGCGAAAGAGGTGGTCATTCGATGGATGGCGTGGTAGAATTTCTAGATCTGGATGGCGAGGTTATGTTTGACTATGAGCTCAATTACGAACTCGTTAGGCCCCTACCTCTGGGGGTGAAAATTAGTGGCGCTGAAGGATTGTTGCCATGGCGGCAATATGCTAGACCTGCCGTTCTTGGCCAGAATGAGTTCTTTTCTGGAAGTTAGTGGGTATTCATTCATGTTATTATTTTCATTAATATTTTGTTGTTCTTACTTATCGGAAATAGGACCGGAGATTACAAATGGGAGGAGCAGCGTGGACCTTCTGGCATCTGGAAGGGCACTATTCGCGGGGAAGTAATTTGCTTTAGTGCCTGTGATAGAGATCAACTAGCTTTTGAAGACTTTGTGAGTTGGATTACTTATCTCATTTTTTTTTTGATTTAAGTTGAATTTTTAATGAAATAGTTGATGGTTCTGACGTGCATAATTGCGTATGATGCAGGATGGAATTCATTGTAACGGTTGTATGATCCAACCTTTTTATCCGTGCTCTTCAACACGGGCACAAGGTACCTGGTGACATTTTACTCTTCATGCGCCACTCCATTGAAAGGAGTAGGCCTGACCGATTCTGCTATTTGTTAAAAACTGGTCGCCAATATCGCGGATATCTATTTGCCCAGGAGCCTCAACTTACGGCCAGTAATCCGTTTGACATTTAAAGGTGAGGAGTTCTATATGTGACCAGATTTGAGCATTTGGGGCAACCTCAACAATTTGGTAAAAGCTTTTTAGGGAGTAGGCTGAAATTTAAATTGCACAAACCTTTTCCTTTCCAATATTTTTGAAGTTTAATGTCATATGTTTGTTTGGTTTGAACTTATCACTTAGAATCTTTTTATAATTTTATGTGTTTGTTTAGTTTAAATCATGACTAGCCTTTTTTTTCTTCTGTTATGATGACGTTTTGAAAGGAATTACTATTTGCTTACTTTTTTTTGTGTGTGTGATGCACGATTTCCCAAAAGCGAATAGCCTTCTTAAAAAAGAGAGAAATCTTCGAAATGATTGTAATTTTACAAAAGCTTTACCAAATATTTTTAAAATAATTGATGATTATTAGTTTCAACAAGAAAAAGGAATATATTTTTCAAATTTGGAAGATTTTCAAAGCATTCGTTACAATTACAAGGAGTATTATGTTTATTTTATTTTATTTTATTTGGATAATGATGATAGATATGAGTTGAGGCATAGTTATTGTTGTTCGCTACAACTATTATGTTCTCAATTGAGATTGATCCTAAGGCGTAAAAATGGTAAATATGAGAATAAGATGTAATTCCATCTATATAAAATATGAGAAAGGGCCGAAAATAATAAATTATGGATCAAATAGTTGTAGGCGCATGCGGCAAATTTGTTTCTTCGTTTTTTGGCTTTTTAAGTTTCCAATGACATAATTTAGTTTTTCAGCCAACATTTTTTTTTGGGTGTTTTTATAGAATTTTATGCCCCATTTATTGAAATAAATTGATTAATATGCTTTGTATGGGTAGTTTCAGGACATTAATTGATGGAAGAGCTTAGAGGGACGAAAAGAATCAAAAAACATGTATGAGAATTACAAATTGAAGCGTAAATGATTATGCAATGTAATCTTTCTCGCTTCAATTTCCTTCCGATTTACATATTGTTCATATTACCTTCCTATTGAAATTTGGTCTTTAAATAATATTGATAATCCTGTAATAAGATTATGGAAATAAACACAACAGTAGTCGTTCTTTAGTTAATATATTTGGAATATAAAAAATTATTTATCAAAATTATTATTTGTAAGTTTTTGTAACGCATGATGGATAGTGAGCAGAATGTATAAACCTGCAGTTTTCATACTAAACGTGTCTATTTATGCTCATATTGCTATTTTATTTTAACCTTATAAAGTAAAAGAAAACAAATATAAGGGGTAAAACCAACAGAACAATCGCATACTTGAACATAGTATAATCAAGTTTAAATTACATAAACACTTGAGAATATTATGAGTAAATGTGGGATCCCAATCACCATTGAAGTGTCCCCTAAATTAGTACTCTACAAGGGCTTTTTGAAAATTAATTATAGGGGTAATTAATCGAGCATTAGTATCAAAGAGTTGCATGTACAAGTGAAAAAAAGATCTCAGAAATACATTACCTGAGTTGTAACTTGTACCCTTGATATTAGCTTTGCTTTTGGCCTTCCTTTATCTTCCGTAGAGTAAGAGATGCTTATGTTGATTGAGCAAAATCAGAAAAAAAAATACAAAGTCAAAAAAAATAAAAAAAATTACATGACAAACATGAAGTTCAAGTTTGAGTGATGTATTCTTAGGTTTTATATATAAAACCCGAAGAAAGAAAATAGAAGAGAAAATCAAACTTCATGAAATAAATTTTTTTAACGAGTCAATGGGAGTTCAAATATCTCATAAATAAACAATTATAGGGGAATAAACAATTTCAACACCATAAAGAGCATATAGATGATTTGTTAAAATGTCTAATATATACTCCGTTACAGGGAAGGGGAAAAGTGAGAAAAAAGATAAACTGATTTCATGACCTAAGACCGTCATGTCACAATATTTACTATGACCAACCACATCAAGGATTGTTATGGCGTCAAAAAGATCTTCCACCTTAATTAAAGGTTTTGGAGTTCAAGGTCTAGAAATAGAAAAGATTATATTCTCTCCGTTCACTTTTAGTTGCAAATATTCTAAAAATAAATTTTTATTTTTACTTGTCACTTTTTACATATCAAGAAAAAATAATATATTTTTTCTGTTTTGCACTTAGCATTAATCTCATTCTTAATTATTTTCCAAATCTATTAAAACTACATACCAATTAATATGAGTATCATGGTAAATTATGCACTTTATTTATTATTTCTTAAGGGGTGTGCAAAGTCAATATTGTACAAGTAAAAGTGAACGGAGGGAGTAGTAGAGAGCGCTTTCCCCATAGATATTAATATGCGAGCCGAATTCGAATTAGTCAGGCCCTAAACGGAGAAGGGACACCAAATGAAAATAAAAAAAAGAAATACTATGATTACAATTTCTTTATATACACATTACACACAAGAAATCTATCATTTTTTCTTTCCATTTGTCTAGTTGAATAAGTAAAACATAGCTATATTGTTCAAGTGATTTGAATCCAATATGTAGCTTAACACATTTACAGAAAATCGTTGACGGTTGAGCTGCCATCCTCTTGCTCTTCTCTTGTCCGTCTTCAGTGTACCTTCCTAGTCTATATCATAAGTCATAACCTTGTTCTTGAAAATAAAAACAACACTTTCTTGTAAAAGCATTCAAGATCCAGTCCACTACAATCTAAGTTGAGTTTAAAAAAAAAATCAATCATCGAAAGAACAATTTTTTGAATGACAGTGTTTAAAAAATGCACACTCAGTCTCATTTCAATATTCACCTATTCATCAATTCAAATTAAGTTGAGTTAGTTATCTATGAGACTAGGACCCTTTTGTATACATTCCGCTTTACTCAACCCAATTCATTGTCATACCAAATAATTCATCATTTCAGGCAAGCTATGTTGGGTTTTTAGTTTAAAAATTTAGGCGAATAAGAAATGGAGAGAAAAATAAAATTTTACAAAGGAACATTTTCTTATATTGGAAGAGGAAAGCTCATTTGTTGGGTATATATAGATAGTTGCACTTCTAGCTCTTAAAGAGTTGAGAAGAAGTCAAGCCTTACGTCGTTGTCGTCATCACTCGCTCGGCTTCGAATTTGGGGATTTGGGTTTGGATTTGTCACGACCCGAAATTCCCACCTTCAAACCGTGATGGCGCCTAACATTTCAATTGCTAGGCAAGCCAACGTTAGAATAACATTATCCATTTTTAAAATAATTTTAAATTTATTAACAACAAGGAAGCAAATGCGGAAGAATTTTTTAAAATAATCCATAATAACNTAATAATAACGGTGTCTAAATACTATCCCAAAATTGGTGTCACAAGTGCACGAGCTTCTAGAATAAATACAAATAAAGGTCTGAATAAAATAAAGCTGTCTGAAAATAAACACACAGCTAAAGTACAATAGATGGGGACTTCAAAACTGCGGACGCCATGCAGTTATACCTCAAATCTCCACTGGTAGCTGAAATCCGAGCAAGTCTATGGTACACCGCTGGGACCAACTCCAAAATCTGCACAAGAAGTGCAGAGTGTAGTATCAGTACAACCGACCCC